GAAGAGGGAAGACCGTGTCAAGGGGCAGAGTAGAGTCAAGAAAACCAGCAAGAAGGCTATTGTAGCAGAGTTCTGAGAATGAATCAGTTCCCAAATCTGGCTGAGCATTAAAACTGTCAAGGAAGTCCTAATAAAATACAGATTTTGGAGCCCTGCCATGAGTTTTCTGACTCAATCTGGGTCACGAGGTGAATGTGCTAATGGGCCAGCTATAGAATTCTCCTGGCTGGATGAGAGGCAATAAGGAAGCACCAGTGAGGGTGGGAGGGATTTATGAGATACTTAAGCAATAGAATAAACACGTTGTAGTGACTGATGGACATCAACCTGGAGTGATTATGTGGACGGATGAGCCATTCATTATGCCCATCAAATGGAGTATTCAAACCTTCAAAGGCAAGGAAAACGATGAGACAATCCATGGGGCATGCAGGTACAGGTGAGCACTAGATAGGCAGATGTAGATGTATGGTGTGCCAGGGAGTGCTCTAGGTTGAAGACCTAAGAGTGAACTTAGGAAATAATGTTTAATTCTGACTAAGCGAAGGAAGAATTCTCAAAGGAGATGGAAGAGAGGTCAGAGACATAGGAAGAAGACAAGTAAAATTCAAATTTCATTCAAGCATTTAATATGGAAAATTTGGTGTGGGGACAAAGTATAAAGGGTCTAAATTCCATGTAAAGAAATCTTGATGGTCTATTGTCAGCAAAAGTGGGGGAAGGCAAAACAATAATGGCAAAGGGTTTATTTACTTAAGTCAAGACTATGATATAGTAAGATTCGTTTTGAGGGAACATCATTCTATCACTGGTAGAAAGGAGATGGGGATAGGGTGAGTCGAGAAGTAGTGGCAGAACAGTTTGAAATTGTGTGGCAGTAACAAGGGGCTCCCCTGGTGGCTCAGATAGTAAAGAGCCTGCCTGCAATGCGGGAGACCTGGGTTCGATCCTTGGGCCCGGAAGATCTCCTGCAGGAGGAAATGGCAACCCACTCCAGTATTCTTGCCTGGAAAATCCCACAAACGGAGGAGTCTGGCGGGCTATAGTCCGTGCATCGCAAAGAGTCGGACACAACTGAGTGACTAACAAAAAAAAAAAAAAACAAAGAAAAGGGCCTAATCTAAAACAGTGGTAGGGGGTGGACACAAGTCACCCAGTTTAAGGGAAATGTCTAAGGCAGAATGTTAGTCCCTGTGGGAATGGTAAAAGAAAACAAGTAAGGGCAAACTAAGGCTTCCAGCTCAGCAGGCTACAGGCTGAGAAACTCAGGCTGCAGAGTGCAGAATGTAGACAAACTTTTAGAGATGATGTTGTGGGTGTGAGAAATTTCAGGCACTGTATGGTGTGTTATGGGTAGTGAGAAATATGGCTCTACTGTTCTTCTGATAGGTTGGGTCTAGTTATGATTTCGAAGTCATCAGTAGGACGATGAGTAAAGTAAACGACAGTCACCATGGCAAATACATATTTTAGTGAAGATAAATGATGGCCAGTGGGGATTGTCAGGACAGTGTGAATGCAGTATTCAAAATAAAATTAATACTACAGATACTGCCTGACCTATACCAAGCTCAAGATTACCTACATTCTTGATTCTAAGTACTATTGGTACACACAGTAAATCAGTCTGTGGGTTTTTGTTTTTTAAATGTTGGCAATCATGTCATACTGACATCTCATACCGTGTTAGACGTTAGGTGAAATTCATGTATGGCTTTTAATTGAACTATTAATAACTAATTTTGCCCTCCTTTTGGCTATGAAACTAAACCCAGGACTTTCCAGCTGTGCTGATTCCATGAGACATGATGTTTTTGTTGCAAGAGACAGACAGCTAAACTAAAAGTAGTTCATCTTATACGGCCATTTACTTCCCTCGTGTAACTGAAAGTTCAGAGGTATGTGTATTGAGGGTTGGCTCAGCAGGCGAGCAATGAGGAGGAACCGAGGCTTTTTTCTCTTTTAGCTGCCAACCTCAGTGAATCAGCAGCACGTTCATCAGGGGCAAAAGGTGGTGGCAGCGGCACCCTGCATTCTGCCTTCCCATGAGAACATCTGAAAGCAGGATAACTCCACCCAGAGGCAACCACAACTCTGATCTCTCACATCATTCTCTTTTCTGAAATCAGGGATGAAAATACTTCCTTGAAGCCATCTGCCCCCAGCACACTTTCCCTTTCATCTCTTAGGCCTGAACTGTGTCACAGTCGACACCATTTAGTCAATCACTGACTAAAGACGATAGTATTATGGACCATTTATGATTTACCCAACTGTTGGGGCTGAGGGAGGGGCCTGTCTGACCTCAGCACACTGCTGCAGGCTCAAATAAAGCAGGTGATTTTTTTTCTTGTTAAGCAAGGAAAAATAGGGGAAGGGCCGTGTACACACACATACATACACACATTTTCTTGGTCTACATATCCAGCCATCCAGTGAGTGTCTGACCTATTCTTCCAGCTTTATTTCACTCTCAAAAGGGCTAAGTATGTGCTTGTTAAAATACTGAGAATTTACACAAACAATTATAGAGACCACCCCTGAACAAAATAGCAATTTAGATTCCAACACTCAGAAAAAGTTCTTCATCCAGGTCCAAATGAATCCAAATTTATATGTGTCTGGGCCCCAATTTTCATTTAGCCCACAAGGGACATGAGAACATCATCTAACACTTCGTGTCCTACCCTGGGGCACAGAGGTGTGTCAGTGGGTATGTTTAGTACTTTGCCTCCTTAAAAACCCTTTTCTCTGTCTCAGTACTTTTCAGGAGCCTCAGTTTATTCTCAGCTCAGATGTTTCATGTCTCATTCACTTCAGAGTATTTATCACTTGTTCTATGCCCGTTTCCTCTTTTTGGCTACATCCTTCCAGAAACTGAGCTCATGAGAATGAAACCTTGGTTTTCCTCGTTGCTCTTCCATTTTCCAGTATGTTAATGATACCACTCTGAACCTCCCAATCCCTTTTCAATCCAGCTTCCTTTTGGCTTATTCCCAATGTTTGTATGATCTTAGGAATTTTAGAAAAATCTGCTTTCTAAACAATGTCCAGGTATACATATCTAACCATAGTTAGTGTATTCTTTATTGTTATGGATCTTAAAATGGCCCTGGTCCATCCCATTAAACTAGTTTCCATAACTTCCACTACATCTTTATTGGCTATAATTAAGTCCAGAAAACCACGCTCCCTTGATGCTTTATTTACCATGTGAGAGACAAGACTATTAGCAAGTTCAGCAAAAAAACACATTAAATATTCTGGTTTAACAGAATGATGCTTCAACATATAGACATCGAGTTTCCAATGAGGACATTCATCTGCTTCTAGGCCAGGTGTGAAACTTGCATTAGGAGAGTAGCAGTCATATTCAACCACCTGAGATATCTATATTTGATTCATTCAGTATTATTACTTTATCTTTCTTGTATGCTCATATTTAAACCTAGCAACCCAAGGATTTCCAAACAGGGCACTCTGCCAAAGATCTCAACAGGTGTTATTTTATTTACACAACATTTAAGCTCCTGTTGGCATATTCTAGTGATTATTGGTATCTCAGCAAGTTTCTCTTGCCTACAAAATCATACTAATTTATTTTTATTCTATTTTAGGTTTACTATACTATCTTATCAGCCTTAGTTAAAACATATGTGTGTTAAAAAGTGTTTATCAGAGATACACCTGAAACAAAGTCAATCATTTTTTAATATTTGAAAAAGAGACCCTCTAGAAAGCATTATTGGAATTAGAAGAAACGTATTTAAGGTATGTTTTTTCTATTTAAAATTATTTTTCATAGCAAAATTGATACACTTTTTTTAAAAAAATATTCTCTTGTGAATCCCTGATATTTTCTCAGCTACCATGTTACTTTCATCTTAGACTACACTTGATATTCTCCAAAGCAGCTCCTTGTATCTGGGCACTGTTCTTCCCTTCCCACAAATTTCAGTTTAAAGTTCTCTTTATCAGGTTGGCAAGATTCCCACCAAATGCATTCCTCTCATATGTACTCCATTTCTCACAGGGAGTCTGTTGTATTCACACATAAGCCCTCGTTAAGAAAAGCTCACTTTGGCCTTCTTTTAGCTGTTTTGGTTGAGTGCCACATGATAGCCCTTAGTTTTTCATTTCTTCTTCAAAGTCATGCCTCAACTGGAAGAAGAGATGAAAATACCCCTTCAGTGCCCAAACCAAGTGCCTCCAGTTTTACCACCGAAGGCCATATGAATCAACAAGAGTATAGTGTGGTCTGTAATGTGGTTAAGTCTCAGGATACCTCCTGAGGAACCTCCCCTATCAGTTCCATCAAGATTTACCTCAATATGAATGAGAAAGGAATAAGATGCCCTCCCTCCAATCGCTACCTAAAGCACTTAACTTGGATGATTATCCTCTGACTCTCAATAGTAAATCTGTAGAGACTTACATGCATTTACCTAATGATACGTTATACATTATCAGCCAGTATATAAAAAGATTTAGAGACTATTGTCAAGATTCCTTTATCAGTTTTAAAACTACTCTCGGTACTGGTGATAGTTACCAAGGATCATATATATGGGACTTTCATTCTGAAGTTGAACTTGGAAGTGTGCCAGGCACAAGAGAGACAAAAAGACAGAATAATACTGTCTTCAGGAATTTGCAGCTTACTCAGTAAGCTAACACTGGTGGATACAGACTTAAGCACGTATCCCTGCTGTAACACGAGGCTTCCATAAAAATGTGCACACAACTGACCACAGCACTGGGCTCACGTAAGTGCTTTTGAGATATCTTACAGCAGCAAGGAAACATCAAACCACAATTATTCTTCAGTCTTGAAAGAATATATATAAGTTTCACAAACAACACAAAGAACAGATTTCATAAAAAGGACTCAACAAACATAGGAATAATCATCTGAAGGTATTCATAAGGAATTTCTTATGACAGAATGATTACCATTCAAAATTAGCAATACTAAAAATTAAATATCAAAGTTGACTTACTTTTACTATGATTAGCCTTGCCAGGTTTTCACACCTCTGGTTATCATTTTCCATACACTCTACTTCAAACAGGGTATTGTAATTTTCTAATATTTTAGCCATTATCTTGTTGCAGAGATCTTGTTCTTTCACACCTTCAAGCCCAGGTGGCACGCTAGAAATAAGGGGGGAAAATTGAGAGCAATTACTTTGTAACAGCACAAGGCCAGCATGGCTGACTCATGCTTATATTTCTACATTTCCTGAATGATTGATCAGCCTTCTTAAAAGGACACTGGGGTTTTCAATAAGCTCTGTGGTGACACACAGGTATTGTTGGGACAATTGGCAAGTTCCCAGGATCTGAATTAATAGCTTGTGCTGAATAATAAAAGTACATGCTGTTCCAGAAGAAGGTGTAGGTTAACATGGGTACCATCAATAATGCTTTGTATATATTAGAAATTGTTCCACATAAAGCATTAACACTTATTTTCTTAAAAAAGCAAAAGCTAGAATAAGTGTTACGACAAAAAGAATGAGTGTTTTATCATGTTAGAAACACTCAGTTACACAAATAATAGCAATATGATCTTTATTTAAGTATTTCTTAGATAATTCACAAAAGGCACAAAACTTAAAGGAAAGGATAAGATACTTCTGGGAAAAATACCAGTAGTTGTTGAAGATTATGCACATGGAAGATGTATTATTACTATTTGCTCTTCTTTGGGGTATGTTAAATTTTTCCATAGTTTAAAAAAAAAGTATACAAATCTGAATGCAGAAGACACTATGTACATATATATATATATGGGGGGAGAAGACAAGATATAGATTGAAAGAAATATCTATAGATTGAAAGAAATATCTCTTTAGTAACATGGGTAATGGGTATAGGATTTAGTAATTACACTGCTTAAAGAATTCTTACTAATCAATAAGAAAATGAATAATTATTTTTAAAAAAGAGAGAGAAAAAACAAACTGACAAACTCATCTAGAAGAAGACACATGGACAGTCAAGAATCTTAAGATACTTAACCTGATTGAGTAACCAGTGAAATACATCAAAAAGCAACAAAGATGTATCAATTAATATCCATCTGTATTAATTTCCTACAGCTGCCGCAACAAAGCTATGACCAATTGGGTGGCTTGAAACAGAAATTTATTCTGTTACAGTTCTGGAGGCCAGAAGAGTAACATCAGTATTACTGGAAAAAAATCATACATTCCACAGAGGCTCAAGGGAGAGAATATGGCTGGGAGCATTACTTAGCTGTGGCCACATCACTTTAATCTTCAATAAAGGCCAACATCTTCAAATTTCTCTTTACTCCACCTTCACATGACCTTCTCCTCTGTGTACATGTCCAATCTTCTGCCCCCTTATAAGAATACATGAGATTGCCTTTGGGCTGGGGCTAAGATACTTCAGTCATGTCTGACTCTCACTGCCCACACAAATAATCCAGGATAATCTCTATCTGAAGATCTCTGAGATGACAGGTAGTAAAGAATCTGCTTGTCAATGCAGAAAATGCAAGAGATTCTGGTTTGATCCCTGGGTCGGGAAGATACCCTGGAGGAGGGCATGGCAACCAACTCTAGTATTCTTGCCTGGGAAATTCCATGAACAGAGGATCCTGGTGGGCTACAGTCCACGGAGTTGCAAAGAATCAGATATGACTAACCGAGCACATGCTACGAAGGTCTCTATCTTAATTATAACTGCAAATTCCCTCTTTTACCCCCAGTAAAGTAACATTCACAGTTTCCAAGGCTTCTAAACTTGCTATCTTGGGGGGACATTGTTCAGCCTCCTATACCACCTCTGGGGTACATACTCTAAGGTGACTCCCAATGAGTCACAGCCTTGTACTTCCTTCAGGTGTAGGCCATACCTGTGATTTGCCTCTGATCAAGACAATATGACAAAAGTCATATCATGTCACTCCCATGACTGCGTTATATTATTTAAGACTCAATCTTAGCAGACTGGAGTGAGGATTCTTCTCTGCTCTTGAAGAAATAAACTGTACATTCAGAGAGGGCCTGTGAAAGTGCCACACGCCAGGGGACTAATGTGGACCTGAGGCCTCTAGCTCACAGCCAGTAAGAAGCTGGGGTCCTTGTACAGCTGCAAGAAAGAGTCTGTGAACAACTCTCATGAGCTTGAAAGCAAGTAATTTCCTAAACTCAGTGAAAAGTGAAGTCGCTCAGTTGTGTCCACTGTTTGTGACCCCATGGACTGTAGCCTACCAGGATGCTCCGTCCATGGGATTTTCCAGGGAAGAGTACTAGAGTGGCTTGCCATTTCCTTCTCCAGGGGATCCTCCTGACCCAGGGATTGAACCTGGGTCTCCTGCATTGTAGGCAGACGCTTTACCATCTGAGCCCCCAAGGAAGCCACCTAAATTCAAGTCTCCTTATAAAAATGCAGCCCAGTTGTTACCTTGATTTCAGCCTTGTGTGACCAAAAGCAGAGGACCCAGCTAGGCGGTGCCTGGACACCTGAGCCTTGGAGAGCATGAGGCAGCAAATTTTTATTGTTCTAAGACACCATATTTGTGGTGATTTGTTGTACAACAATTGAAAACTAATACAGAGTTTGATACCTGGAAGTGGGTTGCTGCTATAACAAACATCTAAAATGTGGAATGTCTTTGGAACTGGATAGTGAGAGGAGACTGTAAGAATTTGACTGGCGTGACAGAGAAAGCCTGAATGCCTTCAACAGAGTTTTCATTGAAATCTGGACTTTACAGACACTGCTGGTGAGAGTTCAGAAGTGCTAGCCAGACAGTAATAAGGAAGGGGTGAGGTCAAATAATAGGCAATGGAAGAAGCTGCAACACACGCTAGACAAATTTAGGTTGAGAACTGGAACATGGATTTTAGAACCCATTTGTGTTCTGTTTACTGATGACTGGGAAAAAGATGAACTATGGCCTCCTGGGGCTTCATACGGAAACAAAGTCTAGGTCTTGGTAAATAATGCTTTTTAAGTATAACAAAAAAGGCAGGAACAAATGACTGTTATTAAGGAGGAGAAGTAACCACAGGAAAGATAATAAATTAGTCAAAAGACTACCATTTCTATTCCAAAGGTAGAGATCAGAGTCTGAAGCACATTCTTAAGTTGTTTTGCAGGATCCAAATCCCCTCGGGCACTGAGCCACCAGATTAACTGGAGCCTAAGGAATGATGTTGGTGATCTCTGCTGACCCTCATGACCTCACTCAACTAGGTACCTGAATTTTGTCAACCTGGAGTGATTTTTGCTTCATTTTAATGTTAAAATCTCTACCCTAAGGGCTGGGATTGCTACCATTTTTGAACATGCGATTATGTTTGAGCATGTTGTTGCATTGTGCAAGCCCATCTAGAACTCCAACTATAAACAGAAGGTTACACTCACTCTGTCATGAAAATGTATGCACTCACAGCTGAAAACATCACTCATCTTCCTGTTTTGGGAGACAGTGTCTTGTGAGCCATCTCCCTGTCTCTTGTCACAAATAATAAATACTTCTGTTTTAATCAGAAGTACTTGGTGTATTCATTGCCTAAGCACTTCAAGGGATGACGGACTGACCCACTGTGTCCAGTAACAGAAGACAATGAGAAACATGCTACTGGGAGCTGGAGGAAGGTGGATCCTCACCCTGCTGGCAGAAAGCAAAGTGCAATTAATTGTATCCTGCAGCTATGTGGGAAGCACATTTTTAAGCAAGGTTGTACAGACAGTGCAAGAAATTTCCAAGCAATGCTGTCAAAGTGCCACCTGATTTCTCTTTGTCACTTATGGTAAAAATCAGAGGCAGGGGGAAGATGGGGTTGGGGAGAGGAGGGAAACTGAGGTGAAAACTGCCAAAATGAAAATAAGTGAAGTGAAGTGAAAGTTGCTCAGTCGTGTCCGACTGTTTGCGATCCCATGGACTATACAGTCCATGGAATTCTCCAGGCCAGACTACTGGAGTGAGTAGCCTTTCCCTTCTTCGGGGGATCTTCCCAACTCAGGGATTGAATCCAGGTCTCCCGCATTGCAGGTGGATTCTTTAGCAGCTGAGCCACAAGGGAAACCCAAAAAGAAAATAAGGCTTGATTTAAAAATCAACTCTACAGATGGCAAAGAAAGTGAAAGTGTTAGTCGCTCAGTCAGGTCCGACTCTTTGTGACTCCATGGACAGCAGCCTGCCAGGCTCTTCTGTCCGTGGAATTAATTCTTCAGGCAAGAATACTGAGGTGGGTTGCCATTCCCCTCTCCAGGGTATCTTCCCAATCCAGGGATCAAACCTGGGTCTCCTGCATTGCAGGTAGACTCTTTACCATCTGAGCCACCAGGGAAGCCACACAGATGGCAAAAGACACTGAAATTAAGAGATTCACTGTCAGGAAAGTAAGCTTGATGGAAAAGGCTGAGTGTGCAATGATGAGAACCTTTGCTAAAACCTCAGAAACATGAAAAGTTCAGATTATTCCATTAGACAAAGGTGAGTAAGGGTGCGTCTCACCCATCCTTTCAATTAAACCAGAGAGCCTCCAGGAATTTAAAGGCATTGCCTTTCAAGTCATTTTAGCATGAGCCTTAAATAGAGAAAGGATTATCTTGGAAAGATATGAAGATACGTCTTATTTCTAATGGAGTGAATACCAGTGAAATTCACAGAAGACTTGCAAGTTTTTGAGAAACCTATTTCAGCAAAAACACTGACAACTTGGAATGAAAGGGACAAAATGGGTGTAAAATGAAAAGAGGCCATTAGATTTCCAAAATTCAATTGGCAGGAAGCAGGCTGATAAGTTACTCAGCTACAACATGTGCTGCCTTTCATCAAAAATGAATGATGTCTCAGAAGACAGAACTAAGAGAGTGAAGTTGAAAACCATGGAGAAGTATTCCCAGGCTTTGAAACTTAGTCATTAGATTCCCAATATTGGCTGGGCTGGATATCAGAAATGTCATTAGCCAGAGACTTTTTAAGTTTTTAATCTTGAATTTTATCCTATTTGAACCAGAACATCTATTGTTATTCTCCTGTGTTTGTTCCATCATTATATGTTAAGCATATTGGGGCAAATAATCTTTCTTCAACTTCATCCTCTCAGGATGCCTTTCTCAACCAGAAAGTCACAGCCAGTCTCAAGATGTGCTAGTGGACAATCATC